CACCACGCCTGCACCCCACCAGCACAGGCGCATGCAGGGCCGCGCAGCAGGGGGCGGCAGCGGCGGCGGCGGTGGCAGCAGCTGTGCGCCACCGCCACCACATCACCACCACCGCCACCGCCACCACACCGCAGGCATACCCCTCACGCACCACCCCCTACCAGTACACAGCTCCACCCGCACGCGCCACCCCCTATATAGCCCCGCCCGCACCTCCCACAGCAGCACACCAAAGGCGAAGGCGTCTGTGGCGCGGCCCAGGCGCTGCCCCTGGATGAGCTCCAGCGGCATGTGGGAGACTGCGGGGAGGGAAGGAGGGAGGGAAAGAAAGAATGCAGGAGAGGAGGGAAGGGAGGAGAGGAGGAAGGGAGGGAGGCGGGGGAGCGACGTCTGTGCGTGTGTGTGTCAGTGATGTGTGGGGTTCCGATGGTTCATTCATTCATTCAGCACACAGACCGGCCGCCTCTTGCTCGAGGGCGGCCCACTTTGGCCTGGGCAGCCCGGGCCGCCCTCCCCCCCGGGCGCATGTTCGGTGTTGGAGGGGTGCGCCCAGCGATAGGGGGCCCCTGAAGGCATGCGCCCTGGGGCAAGTGCCCTGGTGGGCAACAGCACTTGCCCTAGGGGCCGGGCAGCTGCCCACATGGGTGCATGCCCCAGTTGGCTTGTCGCTGCACGCTGGTGGGATCGATACAGTCGGGGCAGGGAGGGACCTGCGCCTGCGCCCTGCCAGCCAGGTGGCAGGTGCGGTGTTGACCGCCGGCGCGGTGGCGGCGCAAGCGCACTGTCAGCGCTAGCTGCGCGGCGCTCCGGCGCCGGCTCCGGCTCCCCGCTCAGTTTGCTGTACAGCTGGCAGGGGTGCCCCCCTGCGCTACCCCCCTGCGTGTGTAGGGTGTCCTGGGGTGGCCAAACCTGCTGAGCGGCCCACAGGGCAGCCAGGGAACTCACCAGCCCGCCGATGGCCGCTTGCCCTCGCCCCTCCTGGCCCTATGCATGCTGCGCAGGCGCCAGTGCCGCCACCATAGCAAGCGGTCGCACCTGGCTTGTCATGGTGGGCCGGACGGGGTGCATCGCAACCTCCGGTGAGCTCCAGCCCAGCCGGCTTTGCAAGCGTTGCAACCGGCGGCGGCGAGTGGGGAGCCGCCGACGGGTTTACTGCTCCTCCCTTTGCAAAGCCCCTGCCTGCTGCGGTGGCGCAAAACCCTCCTCCTCACCCAACACATTTGCCTGCCTGCATGCGCATCTCATTCCTCGGCTTGCAGGCTGGTTAAGTGGTGAATACTGCACTGGGTGAGTGTGCGGGCCCCGCTTGCCTGCAAAACGCACTCCCGCCTGCAGCAGCGTGGCAGCCAGTCACAAAAGGCCTGCTCCCCTCACTGCTTATCCCCACCCGACCCGCCTGCCACCTTCCAGCTCCACCGCTTCCCACTGCTTCCCCGTTGCGTCCCGGCCTCCACCTGCTGCCTGCCCGTTGCAGACCCCCAGACGCGCGCATGTGGAGTTTTGCGGGCAGCGTGCGCTCCACCTGGCTCCTCGCAGCTGGCACAGGCTTGCCCAGCAAACCTGCTGGGCAAGGCTGTCTCGCTGCAGGTGGGCGGGGCCAGTTGGTCGCAGGCCCCTGCACTTGCTAGCCCGCCTGCTAGCCCAGAGCCGCATCTGCCGGCTTCGTGCTCCCTTGCTTCTCTGTCTCCATTCCCCACCGCTCGTCTTGTTTTGGGACCCTCACCCTGCGTACGCCTCTGGTCTGCAGCTGGAGAGCCGCGCAAGTAACTGCACTGCACGCAGCTTCCTGACCACAGCGAGCGCCTGCGTCACCAAGTCCACCAACCTAGGCGCTAAGAGCCTTTTTGTGCTGGAACAGGCACCCAGCGCGCCCAACCGCTTCTACCTGCGCACCAATGTGAGTGCTGCGGAACTGCTGCCGCCTGCAGGCGCCCTCACCCAACCCCTCACGCAAGCCCGCCTGTGCGTGCCTCGCCATGCATCCCAAGCAGGGCCGCACCTCCTGCCCCGCCCGCTACGTGGGAGCCGTGAAGCCAAAGAGCCCTGCTCCCCAGTGCGAGGATCCTGGACTGGCCCTTTATCCAGGCCCCTCTGCCAACAATGCGTCAGTGCTGCTCGAGTTGGAACTTACCAGCCTCAACCGCAGCCCTCCACCACCGCCATCCCCAAAGCCTCCCTCCCCTCGCCCGCCCAAGCCCCGTCCTCCAAGCCCACGCCCTCCGAAGCCGCCGCCACGGCCTCACCCGCCCAAGCTCCGTCCTCCAAGCCCGCTGCCTCCCTCCCCCCCACCACCCAGCCCGCCGCCAGGTATTGATGGCTGCGGTTGTGGTCGTGGCTGTGGAGAGGGATGCTGCACGCATTTCGTTTAGGGGCACTGCAGAATTGGGCCTCTCCCTGCTGCGTGCGTGTGGGCAGGTCCATTTGTATGGCGACAGGGAGCCCGGCTTTGGCCATAACCCCTGCACATGGCACATCGTACCTTCCCGCTGCCCAACTCGTGACGCCCTCGTGCCCGCAGGTGGCTGTTTGACAGCACTGGACAGGGCACGTGTGCCTTCTCCGACTTTACTTATCAGGATTTCGGCGGTGTGGTTTTTGAGTTTTTCATCGTATTTCTGACCGCCAATCGCACGCTGAGCCTGCACAGCCTGTCTCTGGGCTTGTCGACGTGCACCATGTCCGTGTCGCCACTGTGCTCCAGCGTAGGAAGTGCTAACATCTCCCTTGCCCTGTACTCTGTCGATGACGACAGCAACCTGCCCACCGGCAGCGCCTTGGCCACAGCCGCTCATTTGATCAGCACAAACCGCACCCACCTTCCGCTCAACCTTTCGGGCACAGAGCTGGACAACTTCTCCTTCCAGCCCAGCACAAAATATGCCCTCGCCGTAACCATCTCGCCTGGTGGGATTCCTGTCCTGAGTTGCTTTCCACGTGCAAATTGCAACCCATACGACGCACTTCATGCATTCAAGCCATGCATGGGCATGTCTGGGGGATCGCCCTCTTTGCTGTGCAGCAATGAAGCCCCTGTCTGTCTCCTGTCTGTCTGTTACACCCATAAGGAGCAAATGAATGCTACGGGCCCAGCTGTGGTGCCAAACAGCTGGAAAAGTATGCACCAACACAAAACACATGAGGGAAGAGATTCAGGTATGGGGGGTAGAGCTGTACACAACATTGCAGCAAATACAAAACCCACCCAAAATTATAAGCTGCATGCCCCAAGCAATACACACGGTGGGCATCTGCATAAAGATAGCAAGAGGCATTTAATGAAGCGCCGGATAAGCTCAACCCCGGGCCAGCCGAGCCGACCGCCTGGGCAGGGCCGTCAAGACGTGCCCAGGGGCCACCTCGACTGGGGATGGGGCACGAGATGAGGGTGTGGAGGTGGCGGCCTCCGCCTGGTGCCTCGCCGCCGTCTCCCGCCGCTGGCGTCGCCGCCGCGCAGTTGAGGATTCGGGCCGCTCGTCTGCCGCAGGCGACTTGGGGTTAGGCGGGGCAGCAGGCGTGGCCGCCGCTAAAGGAACCACGGCACTGGCCAAGGGCGGCCACTGTGCCGCCGGTGGTGAGGGCGGTGACACGGTGGGGGCCGGCTGCTGCGGGTGGGGGGCCGCGGCAGGGGTGGCGTGCGCACGTGGTGGCTGCTCGCCGCCGCCGTACGGCGGCGGCGGTGGCTGCTGCTGCTGCTGCTCCCTCCTGCCGCCGTCGGGCGGCGGTGGTGGTTGCTGCTGCTGCTGCTGCACCGTGCCGCCGGCAAGCGGTGGCGGCGGCGGCTGCTCGCCGCGCCTCCGTGCTGCCGCGTTAGCGGCTGCTGGCGGGGCGGAGCGCTGCGCACGGCGCTGT